AATAGACACAGAATTATCTGTATTCACCATGCTGTACTTTAGATCCCCAGAATTTATTCGTCTTGCATAAATAAAATTTTGTACTATTTGACCAACATCTCCCACTTCTCCCTCAGCCATGTCCTGAAATTGCAGTTTTACTCTGCTTTTAGGAGTTCAACTTTATTAGATTCCAGATATAATTGAGATAAAGCAGTATTTGCCATTTTCTGCGGCTTATTCCACCTACAATAAGATCCTCCAGGCTCACCTACTTTGTCTGAAATGGAAGGATGTCTTTCTTCTTTTTTTCAGACTGAATGTTGCATCCGTATATCTTATGTATTATTGATGATACATAATATATTCTATGATATATGTATTTTATATCTTAAATAATATTATATAATGCATATATGTTATATTTTCTTTAACCACTCCTAGAACGCAGGAAAACTACAGGGAGATGACACTTTCTATTTGCTAGAATGACTAAATTTGAGAAAAAAATAAATTTGTTGGGCGCCTGGGTGGCTCAGTTGGTTAAGCGACTGCCTTCGGCTCAGGTCATGATCCTGGAGTCCCGGGATCGAGTCCCGCATCGGGCTCCCTGCTCGGCGGGGAGTCTGCTTCTCCCTCTAACCCTCCCCCCTCTCATGCTCTCTCTATCTCATTCTCTCTCTCAAATAAATAAATAAAATCTTTAAAAAAAAAAATTAACACCAATGTGGAGGAATTAAAATGACCATACGTTGCTGATGAGTGTGGATAAAGTACAGGAAAACTGGCATTTACTTATAAAGTCAAACATTTTCTATCCTATAATGTGAACACAAGAATGAAAACTCTGTGAACCACTAATCTACCTTTCTGTATTTTTCCATTCATCCATATTTTGTTCCTATTATATAAAAACTTTTTTTTTTTTTTTTTTTTGCTGGGTATAGTATACTTTATTCTGGTATATGATAAGGTAGGGCTCCCCCAGCCCCTCCCCTTCTTCAGGGGGTCTGAGATGGTAATTGGAGGTCAGGAGATTCTCAGTGTGTTGGGGGATGACTTGGGGCAAGGACTCCCCAGCCACTGAGGGCCTCTCTCTTCCTCTTGATCTTGCTCAGGCTGGTGGTCCAGAGGGCTCTTAGTCCTTGGAGGCCACGTGGACCATAAGGTTTGGCTACAGTTGCTATAGCCAAATTCATTGTCATACCAGGAAATGAGCTTGACAAACTGGTCATTGAGAGCAATGCCAGCCCCAGAATCAAAGGTAGAAGAGTGGGTGTCCCTGTGAACATCACAGGAGACAACCTGGCCTGCAGTGTAGCTGAGGATGCCCTTGAGAGGGCCATCCAGTGCCTGCTTCACCACCTCCTTGGTGTCATCATATTTGGCAGCTTTCTCCTGGTGGCAGGTCAGATCCACAAATGACACACTGGGGGTAGGGACACAGAAGGCCATGCCAATGAGCCTCCCATTCATCTCAGGGATGTCCTTGCAGTGCTGGTAGAATCAGGGATAATGTACTGGGCAACCCCTCAGCCATCATGCCACAAATTCTCAGAGAGGCTGTCCATGGTCATCTGGGTAGCAGTGATGGCATGACGTGTGGTCATGAGTCCCTCCATGATGCCAAAGTTGTCATGAATGACCTTGGCCAGAGGGGCCAAGCAGTTGGTGGTGCAGGAGGCATTGCTGACAATCTTGAGGGAGTTGTCATATTTCTCATGGTTCATGCTTATCACAAACATGGGGGCATCAGCAGAAGGGACAGAGATGATGACCCACTTGGGTCCACCATTCAAGTAAACCCCAGCCATCTCCATGGTGGTGAAGATCCCAGTGGACTCAACAACATACTCAGCACCAGCATCACCCCTTTTGATGTTGGTGGGATCTCACTCCTGGAAGATGGAGATGGAGTTTCCATTGATTACAAGTTTCCCATTCTCAGCCTTGACTATGCCGTGAAATTTGCCATGGGTGGAGTCATACTGAATATGTAGACCATGTAGTTGAGATCAATAAATGGGTTATTGATGGCTACAATATCCGCTTTGCCAGATTTCAAAGAGCCCTGGTGACCAGGTGCTCAATTGGCCAAATCTGTTTATCCCAACCGTCCCCATCGTGTCTTGGGGATGTGGCTTGCACTACCAGAAGACATGGCTGTCTGCTGATTGAGGGGGAGCAGAGAGCCACAAACTTTTTTTTTTAATCGATAGGGAAACAGGAGGCAAAGCAGATAGGTGGGTCCCAGTATGTACATCTTCGTGGTTATTATAGGACATCTAGTGCCCAGCTCGCAGGGTATTATGGGGACGAAATCACATCATATATGTGAAGTTGCCCACACGGTGCACCATAACTTCCTTGTGAACAGAAAATCAGTGCTCAATCAACATTGCAGTAATCGATATATACACGTTGTTTTCCAAATAGAGACTTGCTTAGACATCAGTGCATTCAGTAGTCTTCTTTCTGTAAACTTTTTTTTTCTTCCTGTATACTTTAAAGTCCTATGTAAGATGTGGTCCTTCAGGATGGTGATTGTAGTCTTTGCTGGGAACCCACAGTAAACTCACAACAGTGAAAAGTAAATGATAAACTCTTTCCTGGGAACTCCCCTGGAGTTGTGTTGACGTAGATGGTGGGTGTGGGGGGCTCAGGTGCGCTGTGCCTGCATTCTCTAGTGTAGCCACTAAACGAGGGTCTCCAGGAGCAGCATCAGCACTAACAAGTACTTGGGAAAGATGCCAATTCTCAGACCCCATTCCAAACCTGCAGAATCACCATTTCTTCTGTGGAACCTGAAACACCAAATGATTTCTGTGCACATTAAAACTTGAAAGCACATCATTGCTTATCAGCCTGGGTTTACAGTAAAGATCCCAGGGTGAGTTTTAAGAACCACCATCACCTGGGCCCTCTGCCAGAGTCTGTCTATTGGTCAGGGTAAGAACATCAGTGCTGCTTTAACTATGTGCTTCAGGTGTTTCTCGGGTAGACCAGGGTGAAGCCCAAGGATTCGAAGGTATATTTGTGAAAGCTGACTTCAGCTTTCATTTGAAGAGAAGGTAACAGACTGGTCTGGAATTGTAAGGGGCAGGTCAGTGCAGCCCACGTTCCCTGTGGCAGGATTTGTGACTGTCTGTGGGAGGGGAAGACATCTGAAACCGGGGAAGGAGAAACTCACACGCAAATGTCCACGTAGGAGCTCTTTTTTTCTGAATCTTTTCCTGTGACAAAGTAGAGGTTGGCCTTCTGTGCAGTTCAAGATCCTTCTGTCTCTGAGCTGATGATAGCAGGTAATGAGGCCGTGTTGAGGCCTTTAAAGGCATACACGTGTGATTGCTTTACATAATATCACCCGAGAAAACAATCAAGAGCAAGAGGGAGAGGAAGAAATGGCTGCTTCTCAGGTAAGTTTCGTCTTGACTTAGCTCAGGGCAGTGTCCCCATTTCTTACCCAAATGCCATGTGTTTAGAATTTGCACATTTACTTCTCTACCTCTTGTCCTTCCTAGCAAATTTGTTTTGGACTGCCATTTATCCTTTTTTTTTTATCTTCTCTTTTTGCCTTGATTGGTCTTTTTTTTTTTAAGATTTTATTTATTTATTTGAGAGAGAATGAGAGAGAGAGAGCATGAGAAGGGGGAGGGTCAGAGGGAGAAGCAGACTCCCTGCCGAGCAGGGAGCCCGATGCGGGACTCGATCCCGGGACTCCAGGATCATGACCTGAGCCGAAGGCAGTGGCTTAACCAACTGAGCCATCCAGGCGCCCAACCATTTATCCTTTTAATGATAGTCAAAGTCAGCCCTTTAGGATATTCCCATCTTACATCCCTGGGGCCGTCTCTCCATTCTCTCCAACTGGGCTTTCTATGCAGCATGAAGAATTCCTACCATGAATTCATGACCTGCAAGTATTGAAAATATTCCCTTTGTGACAGATCAACATGGGGATGTGTTGATACCCAAGATCCTCACTGGGGATTTGTTGGGTTTTGGAATCTCAATGAAGGAGGAAATATGTAATATTTAGATTCTGTCTGGGTGTAGCCTGAGTCTATATAAACTGAACGACCATGAACAAGCAATCCAGGTGGCTATCAGGCCCAGAGTAAGTCAGTGTTCTGAAAAAGAAAGCCTTGCTGTCTAGATTGCTTCAACCAAGGAATTACTATTTGAAATACATGAAAGATTACAGGATATGGGAGCTATCTCTGGCTTGAAATCTCATAAAACTGCTATATTTTCATGATTGGAATCATAATATGGTTTGTTTGTTTTGTAAACTTTATCACAATAGTAAAGAGTCCTCCGTGCATTAGGCCACTGATACGTTTGTCTTGTTAACTGATGTTAACTTGGTTCGGGGTCTTTCTGCTAGATTCCCCTGGAAAATGGGGGCTCTCACCTTTCTTTACAGGAGATATTGGCCTTTGCAAATAAAGGTACTAAATGGTCTTTGGTTTCATGAGTTTCCATTTAATCTGCATAGTGTCACAGATATGCTCTCCTTTATTGCCTTTTTTTTATTTTCAGCAGAATGAAACAAGTACTTTGTAATTTCTGTATATTCAAGTTTCTTAAAATTCTGTAGTGTAATTCAGCACAAATGACAAATGATTATTTCCTTGAAATAACATTTGTTGGTGTAAGGAAGGAAGTATTCATGATGTTTTGTCTTGATTTCAGCCTTACCATTCCCTGAGGTTATCTGTAAACTTCACTCTAGTTTAGTGATAATTCTACAAACTAACTGGCATAAAACACTGTTGCCCACATCTTAAAATCAAGTATCTATTCCTTATTTCTGATTCAGCAGTACTTGGAAGTGGAGTTCAGGAGCTGAACATTGAAAATCCTTCCTAAGTGTTCTAAAGAGGCCACCAGGAAACAGTGTTTGGAGAAATAATTTTCTATATGCTTCTGTAATGTGCTCTCGTCTCTACTGAACATAGTGCTGGATTTGAAATTGTAGATTCTCTGGCAAGAGTCATGCTTCTTTTTCTTGTCAATAGGTCTTGCTGTCTGTAGTCTGGATCTGGTCAACTTCTTTGGAAAAGTAAAGAACCCAGCACATGAAGAGAAAGGAGACAGTAGCCACACACCCAGGTAGGTGGGAATGAATGAAGCAGATGACACAGGTGGGGGCCAAAGGTCAGAGGAGAAAACTTGACCTTAAAATGTGGTTTGGGATGCTCTGTTTGAATGGAATGATTCTGGAAGCCAACGTTTAATTCTCTGGTGGTCACAGAGGGACATCTCCTGTCCCACTCTTCACATGCTCCTACATCCTCTAAGGACTTCCCTTCTGTTCTAGTGTCTTCCATGGCATTCACAGTGAAATCCAAAAGCCTCCCCATGGCCACTAAGGGTCTATGTGACCCAATTACTATTCCATTGCTTTCGGGGGTATGGGAAAATCTGCACACACAGGGAGTTTCTAAGTGGAGGCCCCAATGTGATTTACTCCTTTCCCAATCCTGGGTGCACTTGTCTCCTGGAGACACGTACAAATTCTCATACAACATCATGAATGCGGGGGTATTGTGAGGACTGACCCTCCCCTATCAAATCTTATGCAGAGTAGCCTTCCCTATGGAGGTTTCCCCATTGACCAGACTCTGTGCTCTGTCTTTAGAAATGTACCTGGAAGCTTCAGTGTTTACATTGGCCTCACAGTGGAATATGCTGGGCCCCTTCATTAAGACCTAACTGATGCTAGGCCCTATCAAGGACTAAGTGACAGAATCTTTGTGGTTGGGACGCTGGACATGGTAGTTCTAAAAACTACACAGGAGATCCCAACATGAAGCCATAGCTGAGAACTACTTTTCAAACATTGTTTGTCAAAATTTCACGAATATACAAACCGTTTGAAGTTCCCATTAAAAACAGAATCAGGGGCCCCATACTCTGGTATCATGACTCCCTAGGTGTGGATGAAGCCCATTAGTGTGTATTTTTAACACTCATTGAGGTTGCTGTCCCCAGACTTTATTTCCAGTAGCATTATGTTAGAGCAGAAGAGCACATCTGAGTCCCTTATACCAAACTATCCTTTCTCAACACAAATACTGCCCTTCTCAGTGATGACTACTAACAGCTTCTGGAAAGATGACATTCTCTGCTCATCCCATACAAGTTAGGAAGGGACTAGGTAAGGTTGTGTTGTCTGAGCAAAGTTGTTTTGGATGAATAGTATGTGCTCATTCATGAAAGGAATGTTTATTGAGCATCTACTACATACTCCAGGTATATGAGGATGCACCGTGTCCAGGATACTGTGCTGGGAATCTTACATGCATTCTGCATGTTAATCGTTCTAGAGCCCTGGGAATTGGGTACTATATGATCATTTTTTCCAGAAGGATTTGGATGCTGGGTGTGCCTCCCTGGGATTGTAGAGGTTCTTTCTCTTCTTTTTCATTATCATTAATCTTAAAAATAATCTTGGGTGTTATAGCACAAATATAGAGAGCAGACTGGGAGATAGGAAGGGTGGATTAGAGGCTCAGACAAATTTGAGGGGTCCATCATTTGCATTTATGTATTTGATTAATTTTAATGTGTGGACTATCAGTGGACATCCCAGGAATGGAAAGTGGGATGCTATGCGTTATCTTGGAAGCGGTGTTTTAACCAGAAAGGTGAAACTGCCTCCCCAAATTTTAAGTCTCTTGCTTGCTTTATCTGAGTCTGTGCCTCAGGAAAGTGTGAATGCTAGTTTGGGCCACCCAGGTGGAGTTGCCAGGAACTCTGTTCTCTGAGCTGTTCTGAGAAGGGAGGCACAGGGACTGACATTGGAGCCGTGGAGGGCAATTTCGTGGTCTAAGGTTATTTTCCACAGAATCTGAACGGACAATTCCCTGTAAGTTTCCGTAATCCCCATTTAGGCAGAGGGACTATTCCCGATGTAATTTCTGGGCACCTGAGCTCTGTGCACACAGTGCTAGGTCCAGAATAAGAAACAGGAATCCGGGGGCTTCAGTGGGTCCACTGGAGGTGGGATTGACCGGCGCCATATGCATTCATATTGCACAGGGTGATCATGGATGTCCAGTCCCTGATCTCCGTCTGTTCTGGGATCCTCTGCACTGTGGCAGATGACATACTCAGGACCTTGAGGGGTTCACCTCTGTTTTTAGTGTGCACATGTGTGAAGTTTTGGCAACAGGAAAGGCAGAAACGGGAGAGGGCAGGTAAACTCTGGGTGCAATAACAATGTTGGTCAGAGGGAGGACTGGGCTGAACATAGACTCTGGTCCCAGCTTGCCTGAACTGTGAACTCAGATGTGTGGGCTTGGTTGAGATGAAATTCAGGTGTGGTGCTCTGGAGACCCCCCCCAGCTGGTGAAGGAAAGAGCACACGACTGCAGGTTGGGGCCCAGAGAGAAGCTGTGCGCGCCACAAATCATCTGTGCGCATGCACAGCATTTGTTGGGCAACTCTATCTGCGCAGGCCCTCTGGGGAGCCATTACCAAGGGTGAAGTCTGGGGAAGTGAGGGCAGAATCGCATTGGTATGTTGTGCGCATGTGCAAAAGTGACCGGAGCAGGGCAGGCAAATCTGTTGCACTGTCTTCTGCCCACTTGCAATGTGGGTAAGGAGTTTAGGCCACTTGAGAAACTGGTCAAAATGAAAGGTGGTACTGTGTGATCTTTAGAGATGAAGTGATATACATTCAAATTTTCCAGAGTAAATTTGACCAGTAGGTTTGTGTTTTCAAATGGTTAGTCTTGCGCCACCTGTAGGAGGTTGCAATGAGGTTTTTATGGAGAGGTTGTGGAAGGGCAGTATTTGATTGGATATATCCTAAGCAGTTGCCCTATTTTTGGAAGGCCTAGTTGACGTAATTGTTTGTTCTTAAGTTCGTTTTCTTCCTTTCCAGTGCAGTGACTGTAAATTAAGTTGTGGTTTGCTTTCAGAGGCTACCGAGACATTAAAGCCCCGAGTCTATGGCTTCCCTGTTTAATTTTTTTAATAGTGGAAACACAGTTGGTGGGATATTATGTGTTTGTGTGTGTGTGTGTGTGTTTTAATCAATTTGCAAGGGTAGTTCAGCAGTTGTCCACTCATTGTAAGAACGCACAGTCATGATGGTGCAACAATTTCATGTCCCAAAACCACCCAGTAACTTACATGTGTACAAATCAAAGATCCACATTTCATGTGTGTGATAGCAGGAGACAGATATATTTGCGTGTGAACACTGAAGGAAGTGTTTCAACAAGTGTGTTACATTTACAATTACAGCGGGATATGTTTTAGAAATGCAGTAGATGACACCACCTTCCTATGGCATTGATTAAGGAAAGCAATTTTTTTTAAAGATTTTATTTATTTATTTATTTGACAGAGAACAAGTAGCGGGAGATGGAGAAGCAGACTCCCTGCTGAGTAGGGAGCCAAGGAAAGCAATTTTATTGGCAGTAATATTGATATGACAATATTTATGCAAACATTAAGTGCAAAATATTTTAATTTGTATGTGTGTTACACAATGTCAAATGGAACTTCACAGGGCGCCTGGGTGGCTCAGTCATTAAGCGTCTGCCTTGGGCTCAGGTCCTGATCCCAGGACCAAGCCCTACATGGGGCTCCCTGCTCTGCGGGAAGTCTGCTTCTCCCTCTCCCATTCCCCTGCTTGTGTTCCCTCTCTCGCTGTGTCTCACTCTGTCAAATAAATAAATAAAATCTTTAAAAAAAAAAACCCCAAAAACAAATGGAACTTCACACACATTCTGTAATTGCACAAGAAAGAGGATACACCTCATACTGATGAGCTGTTATGATAAGATCAAAGTGTTACTGCCTTGGGGCACTAAATGAGGATTTTTACTTTATTTAAATGTAAAATAAGAATTATACAATATAAACGTACAAAATAGTTGATGTTATGTCTATGTGTAGATGTTTTCTATCTCTACTGTGACAAATCTCCACACATTTAGGAGCTAAAAAAGAACACTCTGCTGATTATATATTTGAATTTCAGTGGGCTTTCCAGGTTTTCTGCTTAGGGTCCTATAAAGTCAAAATCAAGGTTTCATGAGGCATGAGATTTTCTCTGCAGCCTCTAGGGGATTATCTGCTTCCAGGACCATTCAGGTTCTTGACAGAATACAGCTTTAAAGATATTTATTTATTTATTTAGAGCAGGAGCAGTGGGATGGGCAGAGGGAGGAGAGCGAGAATCTCAAGCAGACTCTGTGCTGAGCCTGGAGACTGAATCGGGGCTTAATCTCACAACCCTGAGATTATGACCTGAGTGAAATCAAGAATCAGACACTCAGCCACCTGAGCCACCCAGGCACCCTGACAGAATCCACCTTTAAAGACAATTGGAGTTGATGCTAATCCTTATGAAGGGACTCATCTGCCTCCTGTGTACAGACCTGAATTTTGTTCTGATCTACTGGATTCAAAAAAGCCAATATAATTGATTGTTGATGTCTTCTAGCAAGTTTTCTAGCATCTTGCCAAAAGTTACACATCTTTTTCTTTAGATCCTGTTCATGATATTTCCATTGGGCTAATTTCATCAAATGTTTGGCCTGGCCCTCACTGCAAGCATGTGGACCAATTGATATAAATCTGAAAAACCAGCTTGGCAACTTTGAATCAATATGTTAAATTCTTCTGCAAACCTATGGAGATCCTCAGTCACTTCAGGGAACTCTTCATTGCTCAAAGTTCACCCTTATTCCAGTGAACATAAACTGTGTCCACTTAGATCTTCAGAAGGTTTAACTTTAAGGGGGCAGATTTTAATAGGTTCAGGAGAGGAGGTAGCAGAGGGAACTTCAGATGAAAAGGAAGGTGCAAAAAAGGATAGAATGAGATGGAGATGAAGAAGGGAGAGCCCAGAGGAAGATGGTTTTGGACACCGGGCCTGAGCACAGGATGGCTTCCTACTGACTGTTGACAAAGAAGGTGGGGGAGGGGAAGAATAGGCTTCAGAAGCCCTTTTCTGTGTTTGTAATTGTTTTCTTACCTTTTTCAGTTGAAAAATTATATATTGGTATGAGGCAATATGATGTTCCTGATAGGGTTTGGAACCTTCAAAATACCAATTAAAATAGGAATCCCATTCAGTTTTGTCAATTTCA